GGCTTTTGCGGTGGGGAAGTCGCCGGAAGGATGCGATGTGTTCAAAGGGAAATGGGTCAAAGACGGGTCAACGCGGCCGTTTTACGGTGAATCGGAGTGTCCGTACATTCAGCCGCAGCTCACTTGCCGCACTCATGGTCGTCCCGACAGCAATTATCAGTCATGGAGATGGCAACCTGAATCCTGCTCACTTCCCTCGTTAGTCTCTCTTTCTCTCTTATCTCTGATTCGATTTGAAAAAGTGGTCAGATTTCAATTTTGAAGGTCAATTCGGTGATTGATCTTCAGATCGGGTTTGCTCTTGTGTGTGTTATTAGGTTTGATGCGAAGATGATGCTTGAGAGCTTAAGAGGGAAGAAAATGATGTTTGTCGGAGATTCGTTGAACAGAGGAATGTATGTTTCTCTCATCTGTCTTCTTCATTCACAAATCCCACAAAATTCCAAATCTATGGATACAATTGGATCCCTCACCGTCTTCTCTCTCAAGGTACTTGGATCCATACAATAATTACTCTGTTATTTAGGCTTCTGGTTCAGATTTAGAAAGTCATGTGGAAGCGCCATTGAAGTAGCTCTCTAGAATGTGATGATACAAAACACAGTTCATAGATCTCTGAGTATGATGATGACAAGATCATGATTAGATTTTGATGATTTGCTTGCTCGGATTCTGATATAATCTTCTGGTATACTGATGTAGGATTATAATGCAACGATCGAGTTCTATTGGGCGCCGTTTCTTTTAGAATCGAATTCGGATAACGCTACTGTCCATAGAGTATCAGATCGGATTGTGAGGAAAGACTCGATCAACAAACACGGTAGGCATTGGCGGGGCGCTGATATAGTCGTTTTCAACACTTACTTGTGGTGGAGGACTGGCTTCAAGATGAAGATCTTGTATGTACAATTCATGAAATTTTAAACTTTGCTCAAACTCTTACATTGTTTCTAATTATAGGTACCTACATATACCCCCAATACTAGTGATTTGACTGTTTCTTCAATTTGTTATTTGAAGGGAAGGTTCGTTCAAGGATGAGAATAAGAGAATCGTTGAGATGGAGAGCGAAGATGCTTATCGGATGGCGCTGAAGACTATGAAAAAATGGGTCAAGAAGAACATGGATCCATTGAAGACAAGGGTTTTCTTTGCTACTATGTCCCCTACTCATTACAAGTCAGTAACTTCTTTATCTAGAAAAGCTTTCTTCATATTTAAAACCAGGATTTTATAGAAACAGGAATCAAATTTAGAAGGATCTGGTTCATCGGTACTAGTTTTGAGGAAATATGGCTTTTGACATGATCCGCAATTAGAAACCAGATTTAGATTCAGGCATGACAAATCCCTGGAATACAAAGGTTTCATCTTTTCTTACTCCATGAGCAGGAGCGAGGATTGGGGAGGCGAGAAAGGTAAGAATTGTTACAATCAAACGACACCGATACAAGACACGGACCATTGGCCTTCGGACTGCAGCAAAACGTTAATGAAAGTGATTGGGGAAGAGCTAGACGGGAGAGGGGAATTTCCGGTAACGGTACTGAATATCACACAACTCTCGGGTTACCGGAAAGATGCCCACACATCGATATACAAGAAGCAATGGAGCCCATTGACGAAAGAGCAGCTAGCAAATCCAGCCAGTTACTCAGACTGTATACATTGGTGCTTGCCTGGTCTTCAAGATACTTGGAACGAGCTTTTCTTTGCTAAATTATTCTATCCATGATTATTTTCTTTAAATTCGATATTCTTTTCTTATTACTGTAATTGTAAATTATGGTTATTTTATTTTGTTATATATGTAAAACTCCATTGTTCTACAGAAACAAGAGGAGCAAAAGAGTTCCCTCTCATGTTTTCTGTTACT